TGCTGTGGGACACCCAAAACCAATTATTCTGCAGCGCCATAACAAAATTGAACCTGCTGAACCCCCCCCTTTCAAGAAAAACCTTTTGAATGAATATAGGATGTTTTTCCTGGCTGTTTTTGTGTTTTCAGACAGTTGTGTGACTCAGGTTAGAGTGTAAGTTATACTCTGTCATTCAAAAATTCATTATGGTTTAGGAGTTACACTAAATTTGACTGGGAATAAAGGTAAACTTCTCAAAACCAGGCAGACTTTTCCCCAGAGAATAAATGTGCATTTGATGCTTTTTAAAGCATATTCTAAACACCAAGATGTGTATAGTAGAACATTCATCAAATTATACATTTAAATTGATGTTACACAGAAATAGTATATAATCTCTCCAAATCAATTTTGCCAAGATTCATAAATTAAGAGTAGAGACAAAACAAAAATTATAGAAAAGATCAATGTAATACTTTCAATATGTTTATAAAATTGTTTTGAAATGTATATAATATTGGCTTGTAACTTTTTCACAGATATTGAAGCCCAGATTCGAGAAATTCAAGGCAAAAAAGCTGCACTTGATGAAGCTCAAGGAGTTGGCCTTGATTCTACAGGGTATTATGATCAAGAGATCTATGGTGGAAGTGATAGCAGGTTTGCTGGATATGTAACTTCAATTGCAGCAACTGAACTTGAAGAAGTAAGTGTAATTTATTTTAATTAGTAACAGCACAACTGCATTGTTTAAAGACTTCATGGATTCAGTTATTTAACAGTTATGCTTAAACAATTCCAATTAAACTTTTTAAAGAAATCTTGAATTTTTTTAGTAGAAAAATATATTAAATAAAAATAGTGTTGATCTCTCCTAATCATCTTGATTTATGTAGGATGATGACGACTATTCTTCTACAAGTTTGCTTGGCCAGAAGAAACCTGGGTATCATGCACCGGTGGCATTACTTAATGACATACCACAGTCAACTGAACAGGTGAATTTTAGAATATATAAATGCAATAATATATAGAGGTATTTATTATATATGTAATATATAAAGTGTTGACAACCCCTGCGCCGAGGAGAAGAAAGAATATAACAAGAGTCAATTGGGTTCAGTATGGCCTCTTTATCAGCTATCCTGTGCAGGGCATCCAAAGGACCAAAGGTGGAAGGGGTGCAATAGGTAGAGGAGGAATGGAAGTGGAAGCTGTTTGTGGAGGACAAAACAAATGTGAGGTCTTTGCCTAAGGACTGTGATCCTGGGTTAACTGCCTCTACTAGGAACTGCCTCTACTAGGAGGCATGATTACACGGTTTATTTAATGTTCACTTCACTTAGGCAACAGAAATTCTGGTCCCAATTATGGTAATTAAGCAAGGACTATCTCTAATCAAGATAATTCATACATAAGCAAGATTCCTTATTTAGTGGAATATATTTTGATGGGAGATTTTAAGGCGGACCTGGGCATTTTATGCACCTAGGGCCACATCTGGCCCTTTGGGTATCTTGTCCATTCTGTGTGAAGTCAATTGGAAATTAGAAATCAAATATACATGTATGCCATGAACGCAATAAAACTGCTTTGCTTTTATTTTGAAGGTGACTTTTTCAATGTACACACAATTTATGTGTGTGTGTCTGCCTACGCACCTTTACAGTCCTGTTGTTTTGGCCTTCCACAATATTCCCCATTTCTCATGTGGCCCTTTGGAAAGATTAATTGCCCACCCCTCTTAAGGGGATTGATGACACTTTAGTGTTTATAAAATGTATTATTTGAAAATAATTATGCTAAAATCTGTAGAGTTAAAACATCTTAATTCATCTGACTTCCATAATGTAGAAAGGTGACTACAAATGTAAAGCTTTTTTTATCCATATGTTGGCATTTTACCACTAATTGTTTAAAGAGAAACTACTGATCACTACCCTTTTAGACTGTTGAAGCAAATGCTAAGTTTTTTAATACCAGAAATTGTCTTCAATTTGTCTTTCCCCTAGTTTTCCAGAATGTCTTTTAATACTCCAGAACAGACTTTGAATACGATAGAATAATATGTTCCCGCCTTTACCTGCAACTTTTTGTGTGTGTGTAAATTTTATTGGTTTTTTAAAAACAAACATAAACAAAACATAAAACATAAAAACATAAAACATCTTTTTTGAAAGCAGCATAATCCCAGGTTACATCTCTTTGTACAGACACAAATTCAAGTTCATGCTCATTTTTATATTCCATTCCATATCTTATTACTATTCTACATTTTCTATATAGCTTCTCCCCTCTTTTAACTTTCTTAATTTTATTTTATTTCATCTCAATTCAAATCATTGTACTTATATTCTTTGTCCTGTTTCAACTGTCTAATGCAACCCTCAATGAAATCGAGTTTGACATCTCTGAACTAGACTGTTTTGAATCAGCACAATGCACTTTTTTGTGTAAAATATTGTCACTGAATTCTTCCCATGCCTTGGAGGATTGAAGAGCAGCTCTTTTTTTTTGTAAGTTTTATTTGAGTTTTCACAAAAAGAAAAGAAATACAAGTAAAACATCTTTTTTGAAAGCGGCATAATCCCAGGTTACATTTCTTCGTACAGACGCAAATTCAGGTTCATGCTCCTATTTATATTCTATTCCATATTTTATTACTATTTTACATTTTCTACATAGCTTCTCCCCTCTTTTCATTTTCTTAATTTTATTTTATTTATTCCATCTCAATTCAAATCATTGTATTTATATTTTTTGTCTGTCCTGTTTCAATTGTCTATTATCTTTTCTCATTAAACAAAATTTCTCCTGTAGTTACTGATTGGAGTATGACACCTTTATATCTTTTCCCTAAAATTATAACACTCAATATAATACATAACTTCCATTCGGATTCTGCTTGGTACATTCTTAAACTACACACTGTATTTTAAAAAAGAAAAATTTATAAATGTATAATATAATTAAAACAACAATCCATTCCAATTCAATTCTATCATTAATATTAATATTCATTTAAATCTTAACATTTTGCACATTACTTTTCAGATAAATATCATACTTCTATGGGAACAATTATAAACTTTCCATAGTTAATTCCCCCCCCTTCACTTATATTTTATAAAACATTGACTAATTAAAATGTTCCCGTTCCTTCCTAATTCAATTTTCTCATTTATTTTATTTCATTTATTTTATTCACAAACGTTTCACTAAGTTGCACTAACTATTTTATCCCTCTTTTTAATCATATGTTGTTTCCAATTTTCTAACATTATTTCTATTACAAATATAACAATACAATCTTATGTACCTTCACAGAATCCCTTTTTCAGTTAAATTTTCACCCATTATCTCTAAATAGGTCCTGTTTCTTTACATCTTGCTCCAAACCTTTGTAACTTCTCTTCCTTTCCTTCTCCCCTCTCTTCTTCTCTCTCCCCTTTTTACCCACCTGTCTCTCCACCTCCATTTCCCTCTTCTGTATTCCCCTTTTCTGTTGCTTTCCAACATCATATCCACTTTTCAAATTATTTTTCCCTTTTTTGGCTGTTTTTTTTAAGTCTTAAATTCTCCATTCTCTTTCCCCCCTTTCCCCTTTCTTCCCCACATAGAGTTACTTGTTCATTAAAGATGGCTTCTTTTTTGTCCCAGTCTTGTTGCACAGTCTTTTCTTGTTGTTTCTCGTAGTTACAGATCTCCATTTCTAAAAATTGAAAAACGAAGCCAAAAGAGCCCTTCCCTTCTTGTGCCTCTTCTTTATATTTTTTAAGTTCCATTTTCAATTCGTCCAGAAGTGATGCCATTGTAAAAATTTTTAAACAACCACCCAATTGTTTTTAATCATTCAAATATAATAACCAAAAGTCCAAAAGTCACCAAGCAACCCAAATACACACAAGCTGTTTCTTTTTACACTTTCTTCTTTTTTCACTTTCTCTTCCTGGGGTTACTATTTAGTTGCAAAGTTCCAATTAAAATGTATCTTTTAGAAGTCTTATTGAGAGTTTACTTTAGATTCTTTTGAAGTCCAGGCAGTCTCCTCCCTCCAGATCCTGCCCTTATTCTTTTCCTCTCCCTTCCTGCTTATAGTAAAAAAAAAATTAAGTGTCCAGAAATCTTTATTGTCCCTTTGGCATTTAGTTATATTTTCAGTTTAATTGCCTATTGATGCCAAAGCGGATTTTTCCGATTTCTTATTCAGATCTCTTAGTTGTCAATGTAAGGAAGGAGAGAGAAGAAAAAAAAACTTTCCCTTTTCACTTTCTTTCACTGCTTCTGACTCTTCTTTGGGAGCGATGTTATCTTTTATAAAATTTAAATTCCAGGGTACCTTAGTTGTTCCTTTTTAACCCAGTCAGCCAAAACTTTCACTTCTTATCTTCCTCCTGCACTTTCTTTTCCGGTTGAGTGCTTCTTTGAGGTGGCCATTTCTGACCACCGCTCCTACCGCCTTCGGGAAAGGGAGTTTGGCCAGCTGAGGAGGAGAGATGTGGCTCCCCTCGACCCTGCTGGCGATCTCCCCCCTCTTCACCACCTCTATGGGGTGGCTTAGCCCCGAAGCCAGCTGGCTCGGGGCGCTCCAGTGGCAAGCCCAGGCAGAAACCGCGCACGATCGCGGATTCCTGCCTGCTGCCAAAGCCCTTCAAACCGGAAGCCCTCCCTTAAATTTCTGACCTGCAGCATTTATTGAGAGTTGTATCTTATTTATCTCACTTTTAGTATGATCCATTTGCTGAACATCGTCCACAAAAGATTGCCGATCGAGAAGATGAATACAAAAATCGGAGACGGATGATGATTATTTCCCCCGAACGTCTTGATCCTTTTGCAGATGGTAAATTATTTTCATTTTTCACTCAATTTTATCAGTTTTGTTTCCTTAAATTATCTTTAGCCCTTTGATTTCTGTTGGCATGCTTGAAAATTCAGGAGTTTTAGTTTATACACTTTGAAAGTTGTTTGAAATCATAGTTTGCCATTTTGTTCATCTTTTATAATGCAGATTTTCTTTCCAGGTAGAAGGACAAGAAAATAATGAACCATTGCCATAGAAACACAAAGGGTTAAAGGTTTCTCTTTTCTTATTGCTTTGGTTATGTATGCTGTACTTTGAGTGATTTTAATATTTAGTGCTCAAGAATCTTCCAACTTACTGGATGCTTTCAATCCAAAAGTAGAACATAAAGAATGTCTGCTTTTAAAACGGTACCTAGCATACCGGAGCAGTTGATTCTCACATTTTGAATTTTCAAGAAGTTAAGCTTAAGAGAAACAAAAGTAACATTTAAGAACATTTGTTACTTTTAGTAGTTCAGATATATTCTGATAAATTTTATAAACCTAGCTTAGTTCAATGGGTATCTGGGCCTGATGGAAGCTTTCCTTGGGTGAGTTAGTTTGACAAGGAGCTTTAGAGCACCTGTTGATTAAAACTATAACTGGTTGCAGGTTTTTGTAAATTAGCTTTTCAGCCTGCATGAATTAATAGGGATATGGATTTTACTTGCTTAACTGTCATTGATATAAACATGTATTGTCAGAATTCACAGGCCCATACTAACTGTCCTTAATTTCTTTCCTACAGCAGTACTGCTATATGCCAGTCCTGTCTGCATTCTTAAGGGTGCAGTTCAACACATCCTGTGTAGATAATGGTGAAAAAGTATCCCAAAGGAAAGTCCTATCAAAGCTAGTGTCAGAATGACACTGCCAATTGGGCATTGATGTTCAGCATAGAAAATGTATTAAGAATTTTATTTTGTCCTAAATACTTATGCTATACTACTGGTATAGCTAATCTGCACTTTAAAAATAGTGCTTCCTAGATAAGATTGTTACTAAATGGCTGGGCTTCTGTAAATATTTGAAGTTAGAATGAATTTCAAGATTCAAATTAATATTTATGATGTGGGGAAAGACTTTTTGCCTGTGAATATCCTTATGGTAAAAACTGTACTGCAATCAGTTCACAGTTGTAATTATAACTTCAGAATAAGTGGGGGGAGAAATTGGGTGCTCTTAAAGTGAAGCCCTTTTAACATGCCTCCACAAAGTAAGAATCTGGGGTTCATTGTCCAGATTCACCAAACATATACACTGATCTGTATGATAAAACAATTTGAGTTATTTAGGTTTACAGTAGTACGTATAGTCAGATATCATAGGCTTTATCAGCTTGAACAAGGTAATGTGTTGATTATAAATATCTTTCCAAAGTGTTACTAATGGTAAAGAGATAATTTTCTAGGCTTCTATTCTGCTGCTTGAAGTCAGAACTGCTGATGGAGACAAAAGGCACGAAAGTGTACGTATTCCGGATTAGCAACCCAGGAACCCATCACTTCTGAAGACTCTTAACTGTGCTGTCATTTTATCATTCTTATCTCCTTTAAAATATTTGTTTTAAGCTGTTGTAGTTATGTTTGTGTTCAAACAGGTTAAATTGATCAGCAAAGTGAATAAAAGTAAGATTCATATAATTTCTTTAAAAATCAGTCAAAATATTAAAATTAATTGATTTTGAAATAAAAATAAGTTAGAATAGAGCAGTTTTAAAAGCCAACTTTTCTGCCTTTCTTGCACTTATTATGCTTTTGTCCTATTGCTGTTCTCTTCTGCAGGTGGGAAGACACCTGATCCTAAAATGAATGCCAGAACATATATGGATGTTATGCGTGAACAACATTTAACAAAAGAAGAGGTTAGTTGGTTAAGATTGTTACTCTTAAGTTTCAGTTTTCATTTCTCTTAGACAAGGCTTTTCTTAGTTCATGCCATGTTGAGTTCCTGAAGAACCACTAGTATTGATGTCTCCTTTTGGTGTATTTCCTCTCTGCTTAATGACCACTACTTAGTTCTTGAAATGCTTTGGAGGCAGAATACTTAAGAATATTGTAGGAAAATTAAATAATATGCAACATACAGAGATATTCCCCTAACATTAAGACTTATCAAATCTAAAACATGAAATATGGATAATACACAATTATATGAACATTTAAAAACCCGGCAAAATGCCTGTTTCAACAAACATTAAAAATTCTGGCTTGGTTTTATACATGAAGCAGGCTGTTTTGTCTGCTGAATAAATAATGCCTTGCCAAGGCCCACCTTAAATCATATTCATATTCTCTAAGTATATACATATACATATACATATATATTGATATTGATATTGATATATTGATATATATATATTGATATATATATTGATATATTATAAATTCATAGATGCACACACATGGACATACATAGTTCATTAACGGAAGCGCATAAAGCATGTTTCAGTCACATATGTAAGTATAATTGGGGCATAAATTATTCAGATAAATACTTGCTCAAATAAAAACAGTGATTTGTGCTAGCCAGGAAATACTGTGATAATTTAGAAAATTTAGACCAATATATTCTGTATTTTGCTTTCTATATGCCAGTCTCTCTATATACGTGGTTTGGGCCTATTCATTTGGCTACACAGATAGTTGTCAATAATGATAATGGGACTGGAATTTCTGTTGCTAAGCAATGTAGTAGTTTGACATGCTGCTTAGTGACAGCAGTTCTGGTCCTTCCGGTTGCTATTTGCTAAGCAAATCGCTGTTTGTGACAGCTTCCCCATTGACTTTCTTCTTGGAAGCCAATGGTGAAGGTCTCAAATGATGCTCACGTGACCATGGGGAGACTGACTAACATAAGTATGAGGATTGGTTGTAAATGCCACTTACTCAGCATTGTTATGAGTTTGAACAGCCACTGAATGCTGGTTAAAGGAGGATCATCTGTAATTGATTAATACCAATAATAAGAAATGCTCATCTGTAAAAACTTATTTAACCTTACATCCCAAATTAAAATCTGGATCCCTTTAGAACAGGAGTGGGCAACTATGGCGCCTTTACGGCCTGTGGACTTCAATTCCCAGAATTTCTGAGCCAGCCATGCTGACTCATGAATTCTGGGAGTTGAAGTCCACAGGTAATAAAGAGGACATAATTGCCCACCCCTGCTTTAGAAGATATGAATGTATCAATAACTTTGTGAACTTATTTTTTAGTTTATTTGAGACAATCTTTTCTCTTTAACAGAGAGAAATTAGACAGCAACTAGCAGAAAAGGCTAAAGCTGGTGAACTTAAAGTCGTCAATGGTGCTGCATCCCAGCCACCATCAAAACGCAAACGGCGTTGGGACCAGACTGCTGACCAGACTCCTGGTGCCACACCTAAGAAATTGTCTAGCTGGGATCAAGCTGAGGTAACATCTGAATGCATGCTCTATTTTTTTATTCATTAACTTTGTATCTGCCAAGTTGGAAATAAAATATAAGACAAGCTACAATAGTGCTCAATGAATACCTCTTTCAAGCACGGACAACATTCTTCTGTGACATTTGTAAATTAATCCATCAGTGCAAATGAATCTGTAGGCCTAAGCCTCAATATTTTTTTAAAAAATAATGTATCCTGTCATTTGAACCAGACAGAAGACTGTTGACTGAAAGATATGTCTTTGTAAAAAGTTATCTCAAAGTACTTTTTTTTAAAACCTTATTTTGTTTTGTTCAGACACCTGGACATACTCCGTCACTGCGCTGGGATGAAACACCTGGTCGTGCAAAGGGTAGTGAGACACCTGGAGCAACCCCTGGATCTAAAATATGGGATCCAACTCCTAGTCATACACCAGCAGGAGCTGCAACACCTGGTCGTGGTGATACACCTGGTCATGCAACACCCGGGCATGGAGGTGCAACTTCCAGTGCTCGGAAGAATCGATGGGATGAGACTCCCAAAACAGAAAGAGGTATTCTTTGTAGAACATACTAAAATATGTTTAGTCTAAAATATGTTTAGTCTTATCAAACAGTAAATTAGTACATTATGTTTAGCAGATTATTTTAATTTCAAATGAAACCAACTGTTTGTTGGTATGCTGTTGGAAAGCTTTTGAGTTCAGGAGTTTTTATTCTTTTAACTTGATTTTTGTTCCCCTAGTTCTAGTTCTAGTTTTATTATATCTTGATAACATATTGATATTTATGCTAAAAGTAGAATGTAGGTGACCTAATAAGCTACTTTTTTAAAAAAGTATGTATTTTGGGTATGTTGATGGAGGTCTTTTGCTCAGAGGAGCAAGACCATATTGCACATTAGTAAGCCCTTTGTATATCAGTCCCAGAAATTAAAATTAATAACCCAATATAACTTTGATTGGTTTAATTATTATAGATAAACCTGAGATTAGTAGGTTAGATAAAAAATACGGTGAAAGTTTTTTACTTCTATTTGTGAACTGAATTCAATTTGAAATTGTTGGATTTTGTTTTCCAGATACCCCAGGACATGGGAGTGGATGGGCAGAAACTCCTCGTACTGATCGAGGGGGTGATTCCATTGGTGAAACACCAACTCCTGGAGCAAGTAAAAGAAAATCACGTTGGGATGAGACACCGGCAAGTCAGATGGGTGGCAGCACCCCTGTATTAACACCAGGCAAAACACCAATTGGTACACCAGCTATGAACATGGCAACACCTACACCAGGTAATTTCAGTTGCCTTAATAAGCCAAAACTATAGTTATATTTGCTGGATTCAGTGGTATTATATGAGAAGGGATCTTTGACCAATAGAATTTTCATTATTTCTAAAGTTTAATTAAAGCGCACATGCACACACCTGCCCTGATGACATTTGCCTTGAATAGGAACATACCAGAACATTCTGGAGACAGAAAAAGGAAAGTAGGGAACAAATGAAATCCTATTCTATATTCATAATTGCTTAATGCTGAAGTTAGCCTGAATATCCACCATACTGTCATATAATGTTTCATATTTGTGCTTTACTCAAACTTCATAGTTATCAGGTGAAGTGAAAGCACTTTTGGAAACATACTACTTATCACAAAACTCTGCCAATAATTTTTTAAAAATATTCATGTTGTCTCCATGTACTTAATATATTGAACAAATTCTTTATAGGGCACATAATGAGCATGACTCCTGAACAACTCCAAGCTTGGCGATGGGAAAGAGAAATTGATGAAAGAAATAGACCCCTTTCTGATGAAGAATTGGATGCGATGTTTCCTGAGGGCTATCGGGTAAGGAAAAAGCCATGTACAGTGATAGTATCTATGTGCTATATTCAGTGTATACATAACTCATTACATTTCACTAATGGGAATAAATATTTTGATTCTATATGAACAATGAAAAAGAAATCAAAAGGCCAAAGATATTTCATTCTAAAATTTAGCGTGATCTTGAAAATTAAACTGAACTTCAAAGATCTATTTAGAATGAACCAAAGTAGTTGAACAACTAATTCATTTCTCACTTGTTGATTCTATTTTACCTTAAACTGCTTTTGAAATGTCTTCATTTCTGAATAAATGGTAAGAGAGTTAATAAATGATTGAGGAGGATCCTGGCTTTCAGATCTTTCCATGTTCTTTCTTTGACCACCAAAATATGTAACATCCTTTAACACAGTTTCATCAGTAGGAACTAAAAATTACCCCAAGTAATTCTTTGAAAAGAATGTAGGACAAGGTACAAGCACATTTTACAAGATGCTAGACCTGGCTGCCTGGCAAATTCATACTTTTCCAGTATTTACCGTATTTTTTGGACTATTAAGACACACACACACACACAAACAAAAGTGGGTGGAAATGTTTGCGTCTTATAGAGCTAATATGGGCCTGGTTTTTGGCCTCCCAAACCCTCCATGTGTCCTGTTTCTGCCCTCCCCCAGCATCCAGAAGCACTCTGCAGGGGAAAAACAGGTTCATTTTTGGCCTCCCAAACTCTCTGTGGGTTCCGTTTTTGCTCCCGGCATCGGGGAGGCTGAAAACAAGATGCGCGGAGGGTTTGGGAGGCCAAAAACAGGCCCGTTTTTGACCTGCAGAGTGCTTCTTGTTTTCCGGTGCGTCTTATAGTCTGAAAAATAAGGTAAATAGTGATGTTCAAGAAGTCCATATCATTGATGCATGTTTTCTGGGGAGGGGGGGTCTTAGAATTGAGAAGAGGTTGTGATGGCCTGGGTTACTTGGACTCTGCCTCACATGCACGCACCTTGGACAGAATTGTTTTCCAGAGGAGAGCTTGAGGACGAGCATTGTTCAGTCCCGAAGCAATGTGCAATAGCATTCAGGGTAAAACGACAAAAACTCTTGAGCCATGATGTTCGTTACCTTGGTTTGGAGTAGTAGATTTTCCTTTCTTTTTTAAAAAATATGGATGTTTAAAGTACTATCTAAATCTAAATATGATTTGAGCTATGGAAGGTCATTGAATGACTAGTTAGTTGCTTCCTGTCAGGCCAAGCTGTTTTACAGACTTCTTGTTCTATGGCAAAAGTGTCAAACTCTATTTCATTGAGGGCCACATCAGGGTTGTGTTTGACCTCTAGGGCCAGGGTGGGCGTGACCAGCTTGACATCACTCGTGTTGGGGGTGCCTGTGGTGGCCCAAGCGCTCTGCCAGTGAAAATGGAACTCGGGTGGTGCCGTGCATGCCCCTCTGAACCCCGTTTTCAGCCACAACCACCTCCTGAAGCCCTTGCCCAGCATTTTCACTGGCAGAGGATTGCAGGAGGCCCTCACGGCCAAAAATGGGGTCTTATAACTGCATGTGGCCCTCCTGAGCTCCGTTTTTGCTGGCAGAGGCACCTCGGGCTGGTGCTTTGCTGTTTCCAGGGTGGCCCCACGGGCTGCACCTTGTGTGCTGGATCTGGCCCCCAGGCCTTCAGTTGACACCCCTGTTCTAGGGAAACATTGGAAATGCTAGGTATATAAATCACCTTGAGCTTTTAGAACAATGTATAAATTAACAAATAACAAATCTAACACATAAATTGAAACTATTCCTAGAAAAAACAGCTCTTTTTAATATACACAATTCCTTTTTTCTTCTGTAATGTGACTGTTTGCTTATTTGTCCGTTCAGGTTCTCCCTCCCCCAGCAGGTTATGTTCCTATTCGTACTCCAGCTCGTAAACTTACAGCAACACCAACCCCCTTGGGTGGCATGACTGGATTCCACATGCAAACAGAAGACAGGACTATGAAGAGTGTCAACGACCAGCCCTCAGGAAATCTTCCTTTCCTAAAACCAGATGACATACAATATTTTGATAAACTGCTGGTGAGTTCTTTGGTCTGACAGTGTTGTGTTTGGTGAAGAAGTTGAAGTAAATATCAATTAATCTTATATATATATGTGACAATTACAGGTTGATGTTGATGAATCAACTCTTAGTCCAGAGGAACAGAAAGAAAGAAAAATAATGAAACTGCTTTTGAAGATAAAAAATGGCACCCCTCCAATGAGGAAGGTAAAATAGATTACTTCTGTATCAATGGCATTTTCCTTTTATTCCCACCTTTGCTTCATTTTGTCTTTTCTTTGTTCCTAGATTGCTTTCAGCTTTGAGATAGTTGTGTGTATGTATGTGTATCCCTATCCGTGTCCACACACACACATACATACCTACATACACGCATTTTATTAAAAAGCTGTTCTTAAATTGCTTGTTTGCTTTACATGTCATAACTAAAATGCTTCCTATGTAGAAATGCAGTGTGGTGTCAAAATGTAACAGCAATGTACCTTTATAACTGCTTTTTTTCTTCTGCTTCCATAGGCCGCTTTGCGACAGATTACCGACAAAGCTCGAGAGTTTGGAGCTGGGCCATTGTTCAATCAAATTTTGCCCCTTCTGATGTCTCCAACCCTTGAAGATCAAGAACGCCACTTGCTTGTTAAAGTTATTGACAGAATCTTATATAAGTTGGATGACTTAGTCAGGCCATATGTGCACAAGGTTTGTGTTTCTGAATGTAATATTTCAGTGTGTTACATGCTTGATCAGAAGCCTCTTGTAAACTCATAATTGTAACTATATTTTGTACGTAAATGTAGAATGACACTGGTTATAATTGCAGTGTAACGCTATTCTAGGATATAGGATCTCATGTACAAGCTTCTCATCTTTGTGCAATTTTGATTCATGCACTTTTCCCTTCCCTCCCCTTTCTTCCAAATGACAGGAGAAATACCAACATGTAAAACAGAATTTTGATTCAAAACAAATTATAGGCTGTTTTTTTTTAAGTCCTAGGGATTGGCAGTTTTTTTAAGCAATTGGTTAAATACTGTATATAATTTTAATCGACTAAGAATTGAGCCATACAAGCAATAGATAGTGAGCAGGCAAGCCACATGTTTTAAACAGTCCTTCAAAGTACTCTTTAGTGTTACCTATGAATTGCTATCTTGTTAAATGATTAGATGGTTTCAATGTATGTATATATAGTTTTCCAAAATTAATCTTTAAATGGAATTCTTAAACTATCAACTAAGATTGTTAAGTGTTTATCTTACAAGAGATTGAGGCTTCATTTGTGCTTGCAAAGTTAATATTACATTATTTGTATCAAACATTACTTTCCGTGAGTTTTAACTTTCATTTAAAAAAATTTTTAGATTCTTGTGGTCATTGAACCTTTGCTGATTGATGAAGATTACTATGCTAGAGTGGAAGGCAGAGAGATCATTTCCAACCTGGCTAAGGTAATATATCTTTCTAATCTATTTGGGTTGATATTAACAGATACTAGCTTAGAGATGGAGGAACAGATACGCCAAACGGTCCAATTTAAATTGATGTACAGATATGCACACAAAATTGAGCTGTTAACAAGAATGTTTCACTTTTAGCCATATTCTATCACTGAAAAGCAACCAATAATGGCAAAATATAGAACATAGGTGTTTACAGTTTTTGGTTTAAGGTTGGATGTTAACAGATTCTTATGTTTTTGGTCCATTCAGGCAGCTGGACTGGCAACAATGATTTCTACCATGCGACCTGATATTGATAACATGGATGAATATGTTCGTAACACAACAGCTCGAGCTTTTGCTGTTGTTGCTTCTGCCCTAGGAATTCCATCTTTATTGCCATTTTTAAAAGCTGTGTGCAAAAGCAAGAAGTCTTGGCAAGCCAGACACACTGGCATCAAGATTGTGCAGCAAATTGCTATTCTAATGGGTTGTGCAATTTTACCCCATCTCAGAAGTTTGGTTGAAATTATTGAACACGGTAGGTGTGATAAATGTGTTACACAGTGCTGTTGTTCTGTAACTATGAGATTGAATGATTTAGAGTTGGATGTAAGTAATCAGTAACAATTACATAAAGTGGATTAAAGCAGCCCTTTTCTCTATTCCTTTTGAAATGTAATAGTCTTTACATTTAAGAATAAAAGTTACAGTTGATCTTTAATTCCACAGTAAATTAGCCCTCATTATGACAGATCAATACTGACTTGATAGGATATAAGCTGTATATATCAATTAGATGGATTTTGCTGTATAAAATTATGTCACAAATGAGGCTGTCTCTGGTAAAACAAAATATTCAGTATGTTGGTATTTGTCTCTTCCTACAATCCGGGAAAACTTCCTGCTTATTTCCTTGCCTTCAACTCTTTGTTTTCTGGGATCTATCTCATTCTGAAATCCCTCAATAAGCCCCTCTGCTGCTGGTCTTGTCTATTGCAAAGTTTATAAGACCTAGTACCTATGGCAGATGTTCCATCTGCCATGATGTTCATCCAAAGCTGCCATCACCTAGACTTTTAAGGAGGACAGTTGCTGACTTTCCACCAAATGTTACCTCAAAAATTATTCTACATGATGAATCCTGCAGAGCAGATCCTTGAATACCTGACATAAACAGTCTTTCCCTTTATCTGAAAGCAGTAAAGGAAGTTGTCTGAACCTTCCTTATTTAATAAAATAAATTAGATGTTCTTTTCCCCGCTCATTAGCAATATGTTTTAAAAATGGCGGCATAGTTATACATTTCCCCCCCACTATAATAGGTAAGAAGTCTGAAATAGAGTATAAACTACATATTTGTTTTGCAGGCTTGGTTGATGAGCAACAGAAAGTACGTACCATTAGTGCTTTAGCCATTGCTGCTTTAGCTGAAGCAGCAACCCCGTATGGTATTGAATCATTTGACTCTGTTCTAAAGCCCCTCTGGAAAGGCATACGTCAACACAGAGGAAAGGTATGTCCAATTTAACATCAGCCCACTAATATTAGTTAACACGTGGTGTTATTTATAATAATATTTGTTTTATATATATTTTAGGGTCTGGCTGCTTTCTTGAAAGCCATAGGATATCTTATTCCACTTATGGATGCAGAGTATGCCAACTACTATACCAGAGAAGTAATGCTCATTCTTATCAGAGAGTTTCAGTCTCCTGATGAAGAAATGAAGAAGATCGTGTTGAAGGTACGTAGGTATATTTGAACATGGAAGAATTAGTTGGTTTCTTCTTCGTTCTGCTGGGTAGAAGCCTCGCCATCAGGAGGTAAAGAAAAATTGATATGACTCCAAGGTGCATAAAAGTAGAGAGGTTTACATAAATGTGGAGATGGTGAGAACTTCAGTTTCTTAATAAAAATATGCATGATTAGCACCTACATTTCACTTCAACTGAAGAATTAGACTTCACAGTATTAAAAGTATGTTGACATGTTCCTGTCCATTATCCAAATAATGCTGAGAGATTCTGAAGTAAAGGCATAGCAGCTTTTTAAGATTTGCTAATGAAGTAGTAGTTGAGCTGAATTTCGAACTAACTGGTTTCTGAGGAGATTCTAATGATTGTTAATGTAAATATGAGAAGCCTGTAAGTGCTCTTGATATTGCTAAATTCCCAGCTCTGCATTAGTATAATGCACTACATATATGCAAACACATTCAGTGTTGCTCATTCTTGCTGTAATGCTCTTCCAAATAATTTTATTTATTTGAGTTGCATACAGCACACTTGGTAGAATAACATCTTTCTGGAAATTTTTATATTGCTTGTCTTTTTTCTTTTTTAGGTGGTAAAGCAGTGTTGTGGCACAGATGGTGTTGAAGCAAACTACATTAAAACAGAAATTTTGCCTCCATTTTTCAAGCATTTCTGGCAGCATAGAATGGCATTGGATAGAAGAAATTATAGACAGGTATTACTATTATTGACACTAGTACAGTACAATAAATTTTAGCAGAAGTTCTTAATAATTACATTGAGAAGAAGAATAAAACTAAAGGATGCTTATTGTTGGACAAAATTTAATTCCAATTGCTAGGAAGTGGAATTGGGAACGTCCGTAGAGGTCTCTAAGCAGAGATTCATTCTAAACTAAGAAGGAAAATGAAAAATAAATGGATATTGTGTGCCAGATATGTGTGTGTGTGTGTGTGTGTGTGTGTGTGTGTTTGTGTGTTTTAAGTTTTCGCAGGTACTTATAAGTCTGGTATTCAGCTTTGCTCGGGTATTTTCCCACGTCATTGTAGTTGTGCTTTTAAAGTTGTAGCAA